CCGCCGCCGCCGCCGCCGCCACACTAATCAAATTAATAAAATCCAATCTTCTTTTACTATTATTGAAGAATATATATATACACAATTGTATATACAATTGTATATACAATATATATATAATATATATATTAATAATGAATAAATGAAGTATATTTTAACGTTGTTAAATTATCAGTAATATAATTTCTAAATCTTTTAATGTCTATTTCAACAATACGTTCCAAAATAAATCTAATAGAAGACACTACGTTTCTGTCGATAAGAATTCAATACCAATCGAACAATGGGTGCCGCGACACTTAATCTCTCAGTAGCTTGATTGATAAACTTTTTATGCAATACATTTCTTTAATATACATACAGTAGAATGTAACTATCGTTCTAGCCGAGGTCGTGTATCGATTAATATCAATGACGCATTATTCGTCGTTAAACATTTACCAAAGTTAGCCATAGAAATCATTAGAATGGGAAACTCACAATGCACTCCCTCGCGACCTTCCACAGGTTGAAATAAATGGAGTTCAGCCTGGATATTACTTCGAGTTACACTTTCTGACTATTTATTCTTCTTCACAGTTGATTTTCCAGTGAATAAGATATACCTGATAGAAAAGTATCTTCGAAATTGTTTTGCGTGTCTTTCTTGAGTGCAAAAAAGATAAATAGTGAAAAAGCAAGTATTTTATTTAATAATACTTTCTTTTATATCGTTTCCCTTATATATCACCTTTTCGCTTACTTAATTTTGAAATAAAAAATTTCGTTCGTTGAATTTATTTTATATATATGTTTTCTGTTTGAAAATTTTGGTTTTTCGATGTTATCGTTGATATAGGCGTTGACCTTGATATTAATGTTCGTGATTAACAAACCACGAATCTTTAGTCTCACGCGAATGATTTTTTAAACAAGGAATAAGGAACTATATAAGGATATAAATGGATTAGGGAAATTAGAAGGACGGGTGAATACAGAATTTTCGAAGGAGAAAGGGACCGGCGAAGAAAAGTCTTTCGTCGACACACGCACGGAACTTTCGAGCAATTTTAAAGCGACGTTAATAACCAATACGACGTTAAAAAGAGATCGCTTAATTCGACTAGTTTTGGGTTCATGTCCCTATCACGGCACATCGCATCGAGCCCTTTCTCTAAGGCGAAGGGCACTGCCTATGGCTGTTTTAGGAAATGAGTCGACACCAGCCGTAGCGTAAGCATCGAGGGTCAGAACCAAAGATGAGTTTTAGGTCACCACTTCGCTCCTTGTCTTAGCATGATCCACATGTCTTCTTAAGGTGTTACTGCAACTTTCTGAAATTAAAAATAATTTATCATTTTCAAAAATACAAATAATTTAATCATTTTATTTATTTTTTTTTATATTTCATTTTTCATTTTCATTAGATTTTTTATATATTTTTTTTAATATTCAGTAAAACAGAAATGATTAAACAAAGATTAGAAATTTTCTTTAAATTTTGCGATTTAAACCAAATTACATCGAATTAAATTATAAAATTCGATAATAATTATTAAATTTTTCTTAAATAAAATTATAAAATTCGGCAATTTGAAAACTTTTAAAATGTTTTAATTTAAATATTAATTATTTTTATTATTAAAGAAATACAAATATGATTATTTCTAAAATTTTTTCTTTCTTTCTTTCACTTGAATAAATTGTTTACATAAATATTCATATAAAAAATTTTAATTCATTAACAAATGAAATTTTTTGATAATTGTAAACTTATAAAAAATATAAACTTTTAATATCTAATTACATAATTATACAAGATAAAAATTTGTTAGTTAATTCGATGTCGTAACTGGACTAACTTATAAAGCATTAATCATACAATCGATATTTCGCATGAATACCATGGAACGTCGTATGAGAATAATAGAAGGAGAAAAAAATTTTATCAAATAAATTCATCCTAAAGAGAATTTATTATTCGTAAGAGAATATATGAAGTGTCATAAAAACATTGTTTACTTTCAGTAGATGTTACAGAGAAATAATAATTGTAATTATAATAAATCTGAATTATACATTCATTCATTTATTTTAGAAAAACTTCGATTTTTACATAATTCATCAATTGACTCTTTTAGTAATATATACACATGAAATATCAATGTATCAATTATTATGATTAATGCTTTGTTAAAAATTCTCTATATTAAAAAAAACAAATAATTATTTAAATATTTCACTGTAAATATTTTTAATTAATAAATAGTAATATTGATCTTTTTAAAGATTTTTTCTAGATAATCACAAAAAATGAAAAATTATGAAAAAAATGATTTATAATTGGTAATTTCTAAAGGAAAAAAGATAAATCGAATGAATAAAGAGAAAGAATAAAATATACCTCATAAAAACTATGATAACCATAACGATCAAAGCAAATCATGCACAAGCGCCCCACGAAGTGTTACTGAGTTTTCACGATCGTGTAGCTCCCCTTTTCTGTCCTATCCCTTGTTCACCTCTTGGCGTCTATATTCGATGATAGCCCCCTTTCACGTCTCTTCTGTTGGCGAACGGAATTCGAGTAGCGTTTCCAGTGTATCACATACCCCCTTAGCAGCAGATATCGCGAGGACGAGGGCGCATGCACTACCTCCAAGAATCAATAGACCGTTCTGGTCACGTGAAGCATCCGCGAAAACAGAGACCTACCTTAGACAAAGACAAAAATGTACATAGAAAAAAGAAGAGAATAATAAAGGAAGTATACATATGTATACTTACTCACTTAGAAAGAAAGAAAGAAAGAAAAAAGAAAAGAAAAAGAGGAAAAAAGGAGAAAGAAAGCAAAGGATAAACGAAAGAAAAGATATAAGATTAAAATGAAACAAAAATAAAGCAATTCATAAATAATTAACCAATTTAATTATTTTACATAAAGTTCTTAAATAATAAATTTTATTTCATATAAATAATATGTAAAATAATATACATAATATTTTAATTTCAGAAATTCTTTAATTATTATATATAATAATTGTAATTTATTATAATTTATTTTATACA